TTAAAAAGCCAAAAATGATTTGTTACAGCTTTCCAAACTAGCAATGAAAAAGCTATTGAAGCATCTAGCAGGATAGATTATCAAATTGCAGTGGCTGGAGAAACACAGTAAAACCTTGTTTGGATGAAAAAGCATTGAAAGAAATCCTAGCACTGTCACTTTCTAATAATAGAGAAAGTTGTCAAATTAAAGATTTAACTGCAAACATAAAGACTAAGTTAGTATCTTTTTTTTTTTTAAGATTTCATTTATTTGTCAGAGAGAGAGAGAGTATGCAGCAGGTAGAGGGAGAAGCAGACTCCCCGCTGAGCAAGGTGCCTGATGTAGGACTTGATTCCAGGACCCTGGGATCATGACCTGAGCTGAAGGCAGATGCTTAACCAACTGAGCCATCCAGGCGTCCCTGTGTTAGTATCTTAACAGAAGTGTATTCTGCCTTACAAATGGAAGAATTTGCATTCATGGCTGGATTTGTCATTTTGTTTGTATTCATCTGGTATCAGCACCAAACCAACCATCAGAGAGTATCTTTTTGGTGAATGCTTGGCAGCGAACGCAAGTAGTGCAAAGTATTTGGTGTAGGATAGCTTTTTTGAAAATTTTGCCAGACTTACTTAAAAATGCCTTTTATATGACAGTAAAAATGTTAAGTTTTATTAAATCTTGACCCTTGAGGACCTATCTTTTTAGTATGCCATGTATTAAAGGGATGCACTTGTTCTGTGTTGAGGTGTGATGGCTCTCCTGAGGTAAAGCACTTGTATGATTGAATGGTGAGCTGAACTGGCCACTTTTTTTTTTTTTCATAAAAAATCATTTTTGCTTCAAGGAATGACTGAAAAACTAGGGTTATTTATACTTGGATGATTGGAATACATTTTCTAAAAAATTGAACCAAGTGAGTTTGTCATTTCAAGGAAAGAACAAATGGCATTGTTGCCAATTAACTTGTCCCTGCCACTGTGAGTTTGATAGCTTCTTAGTATTTAGAAACTTCCCAAAGAGATCAGTATGACCTTTTGATATTCTCTAGTGAGGTGTGTTAACATCTGGAAGCCCTGCATAACTTGCTGAACCAACATTTTCCAAAAGACCAGTGCATGAAGTTACAAAATCATTCAGGGGTAAAAGATACATTCAAAGCACTAGATAGACCAGTGGCTTTTAAGGTACAGAATCCAAAAGGTTCACTGATGATGGCTTCAGATTCTACCTTGCAACTAACCTTTAAGAAACTACCATGTGGGGCACTTGGGTGGCTCAATCAGTTAAGCATCTGCCTTTGGCTCAGGTCATGGTCCCAGGGTCCTGGGACTGAGTGCTGCATTGAGCTCCCTGCTCAGCAGGGAGTCTGCTTCTTTCTACCCCGCCCCTGAGCGTGATATCTCTCTCTCTCAAAAACAAAACAAAACAAAACAAAAAACTACCACGTGTTGAGTTTTGGATAGTGAAGATGAGTATCCAGAATTACCGGAAAAGACTTTTTTAAAATTTTTTTTAAAGATTTTGTTTATTTATTTAACAGCAAGAGAGACAGCGGAAGAGGGAACACAAGCAGGGGGAGTGGGAGAGGGAGAAGCAAGCTTCCCATGGAGCAGGGAGCCTGATGTGGAGCTCGATCCCAGGACCCTGGGACCATGACCTGAGCCGAAGGCAGACGCTTAACCAACTGAGCCACCCAGGCGCCCCTGAAAAGACTTTTAAAATACTGCTCCCTTTCCCCACTATTTCACTGAGTCTGGATTTTTTCTACATTCTTCAATTTAAGTAACAGATTGGGTACAACACAGATGTGAGAATCCAGCTGTTTGCCTTTAAGGCAGACAACAAAGATGTACAAACAGCACTCTTCTCATTTTTTAAAAAATAGTTATTTTCATAAAAATGTTTATTGGCTTTAAATGAATTAGTATATTAAACATTTCTCAGTTTTGCTTTCTAACACAACAAACGTTCAACGTAAACCACATACAAAGAAGCTCTTTGTAGTCCTCAATATTTAAGAATGGGAAGGAGTCCTGGGACCAGAAGACTTGAGAACTGCTGCCTTAAGACCATTCCATTGAACTTGGTGGTAGCAAGGTGATAATCTTGACTTGGAAAAGCTATTTGCTACAGATGGTTGGCAGTTCTTTTGTTGTTGTTTTTAATGTCCATGCCTTGTTAATCAGAGCAATCCTATGATGAGGACAGTAGTGCTGCTTGGTAGTGAAGAGCTGCTTCACTCACTGACCTGGGTGTATAGTGAGAGAGTGAGCATCAAATGTTAGTTATTAATAGTAGTGAAATAAGAAGAACCAACTCAATTAAGAATTGTCCACATTGTTAACCTAAAATGCTTTATATTCATTTAAGAATGTGAGTCTCGGGGTGCCTGGGTGGCTTAGGCAGTTGAGTGTGAGACTCTTGATTTTGGCTCAGGTCACGATCTCAGGTCGTGGGATCCAGCCCCTCATCCGTCTCTGCTCAGAGCATGGAGCCTGCTTGGGATTCTCTCTCTCCCTCTTCCCCCTCACCACTCTCTCTCTAAAACAAAACCAAAACAAGCAATGGGAACTGTAACGAGGTCTCTCTGGACAGAACCTCACAGAAGCAGAGTTACGGGACACGATCAATGGAGTGAACGCTGATGGTCACCGCCCAGTTGACGGCCCGGAATTTCTGACAACGATGGCAAGAGAAATGAAAGGCACAGTGAGGAGGAAATTGGAGAGCAGTCCGTGTGTGTTTGATCAAGAGGCAACAGCTGTATGAGTGCAGGGCTTCACCGTGTGATGACAAACCTGGGAGAGAAGTGAGCAGATGCTGAGGTTGAAATGGACAGGGAAGAAGATATTTATGGTAATGGGCATGTGAACTATGAAGAGTTTGTACTCACGATGACAGCAGTGTGCAGACATTGTACAGAATGTGTTCAATTTCTTGTACCAAATTATTTATCTGCCTCTTCCTTATAACTTATCTGTAAAAGGTTTCCCCCTGCTGTCCAAAAACACGCACATAGGGTGATTAGGACCTCATTCCTCCGTTTTCTTCCCTTACTGTCATTGTCCTGAAACCTTCCTTGAGAAAATCGATCCAGTCACATTGTGCACGTGGCTTCCTCTGGATAAATCTAAGACCTTCTGCACACCTCGACATAGATGGAGTTGGTCAAATGAGGGAAGATCTGGGTTGTGCCTTTTTTTTTTTTTTAAGCAGTTTTTTTTGGAAGCGTCAGCTTGTAGAAGCTGGAGCCATAACTCTTATGTGGAGTATGGACAGTCAGCAATATGTAGTTCAGAGTTGCACTATTGCAAAATGGGTGTATGATCCACATACTCACATATTATTTTTTTTGTACTGCTGGTTCTGTACTAGAAACATTTTCTTTTATTGTTACTTGCTTTTTAAACTGTGTTTAGCCATTTAAAGAAAATTTGCTTATGGCACAATTGTCCTCAGATCCATTCCAAGTTATGCATGTTTTCCAATAAAAAATTACAATTTATTCTATCCCCCCACCCCCCCCAAAAGAGTCAGAATTCTTACCTGGTCTTGGGTGACAACAATGACTGAAAGGATGATTTCTCCAAAGGTCTTCTGAGGGACACTTGGGCCTTTCCTATAATGTGGTCCAGAGTGGGGGCTCCTGGTCCAGTCCTGATCCCCCATAGCAAGCCAGAGATGGTCCAGCAGAAGGCTCTCTTCTGCTTGTTTGGCAAAGTTAGCTGGGATGAAGGGTCCCAAGGCTTTGAAGGGCTGTGTATTAGTGTTCTATCCTCAAGGCATGGAGTTGAATGTGGGAGCAGGCTAAGTTCAGATCTTAAAGGGTCTCATCTGTAGTTGACAAACATAAGATGATTAGATCTGGTGAGCTCGTTGGAAGGGGGTCAATCACCAGAGTCGGCTCTGAAGGTTCATCTGCCATCTCTGTTGGAAATCTTTTTTTTTTAAGATTTTATTTATTTATTTGACAGAGAGAGACACAGCGAGAGAGGGAACACAAGCAGAGGCAGTGGGAGAGGGAGAAGCAGGCTTCCCGCATAGCAGGGAGCCCGGTGCAGGGCTCGATCCCAGGACCCTGGGATGATGACCCTAGCCAAAGGCAGATACTGAGCAACTGAGCCACCCAGGCGCCCCACTCTGTTGGAAATCTTACTGTGGAAGCCACAGGGCCGTGTGCAGAGTGCAGGAGGCCTGACTTCAGAGCAGGGGAAGCTGCAGAGCTTGATGTGTGGCTCTGATTTACTCTTGGGACACGCTTGCTGGGGGGTGAGGGTGGGGTGAAAGGCCTGCATGTACCTCCAGTCACAAGCCTTGTGTGATTGGACCGTCTTGACCTCTTAAGGCCAGAACTGATTTCATGGTCAGTGAGCAATAAAACTGGTGAGGAAGAGGAGGAAGACTAAAATGTTTGTGATCTGGAGGGAAAGGAGAACCAGATGATCCTTTCGAAAGGAGAGGGCAGTAAAACAAAGTAGTCACAGCTTACCGAATACCACTGAGGGCCTTTTTATCCTAACCATCTGCTTTTCTGGTCTGCTTCATTCTAAGGATAACGACTGAGTACACAAGATTTACAGGGCACTAGGTTATTTAATCTGGGATCTGTGTGTGCCTTCCGATGGTGCGTGGACAGACGGCTAGCAGCTGTGAGGATTTGAAGGCTTCGCTAGGATGCACTGACTTGATGTTTCCAGCTCTATGCATGGTCCCCTCCACCGTGATCATTAGATGCAGTCAATGTCAGCATTGTGTGGTGTCAGTTCTAAATCTCTGCCCGGCTTTTGTCTGCCTGCCGGATTTGATCCCCTTTTCACAGAGCCCAGCTCGCGGTAGGCTCTTGACGGGCTTCCTGTCGGCCCACTCAGCAGTCTCCTTAGTTCGGTTTGGGAGTCCAGTTCTCTTTTTGCCTGTGAGCTGACGATCTTAGCGAGTTTGTGTTTGGAGGTGTCGGGAGCATAAAAGGTTGTGTAATGAACTCTGCTCCTTTTTTATGGCAGGGTACTTGCGGAGAAATGCCGGTTGCTAGGCTGCTGTGGCAGGTCGCGGGCCAGATGCTGGGGAGCCCAGCCTGTGGCTGCTGGATAGCTACCCCGCCACTCCGGTTTCTGGGCACCTCCCCTCGGCAGATTCCAGCAGACGCCAACTTCCACTCTGCCCTTTTCTCTGAAACAGACCAGCCACGCGTCCTAATTACAGGTTGGGTTTTTGTTTTTGTTTTTGTTTTCTTTTTCTTTTTCCACATTTGCAACTTGATTCTTCATCATCGTCATCTTTTTTTTTTTTTTCTATGCTGTTTCTGGATGGTTTTGGAACGGCTACCATGCCACCAGCAAACATATATTCAGAAATGACCTTTTCCACGATTGGCTTCCTCCAGAATATGGCAAGCCTGAAATCCTCATTGTGTCACTGTTGCCAGTGCTTTGTTTGCATGTTGTAATTTTTTGTTGTCTGAAGGTTGGATATAGGAAACAGGGCGGGGTGGGGGTTGTGAAGGAAGCTGCCGAGGAGCTGCAATCGCCTGGAGGTGAGGACTCATGGGAGCGATTGTGCAGGGACTAGGGCAGTGCATCAGTTCCATCTTTTCTTGGCCGAACTCCTCAACCCAAACTGCACACCATCCATGCCCAGCAGCTGTTGCACGTTTGTGTGTGGGAGACAGAGGAGATACGTTAGGGCCTGCCCGAGGAACCTGTCCCCACCGTCTTAGAATGTCGTTGATCTCAGTGTCCCCAGACTTGCCCCCTGTGCTCCTTACCTCCTGTCCACCCAGCCCCTGAGGCTGTACCCTCCTCGCTCTGAGCCTCTCCGGGCACTCCCAAGTCCTTCCAGCCAACCCAAGCCCACCTCTGATGTGATGGACACACTTTATTTCCTTCTTCCCACCAGATTGTCTTCCCCTTGGCTTCTTATGTGCCTCGCAGTGTGTGTGTGTGTGTGTGTGTGTGTGTGTGTGTGTGTGTTTGACTGCCTCCTCGTCTCTGACTGGAAATGGACTTGAGGTGGAGTCATTTCCCCTCGCACCGTTCCTCCCTGGTTCACCCCACTTGTCTGGAGGTGGTTTACTCCCTCCTGCCTCCACCAACAGAGCATCTTCTAGGACCCAGTGGTAGTGTCAGTGGGCCCGGTTCTAGTCCCATGGTAACAAGCGCTTACAGGAAATCCCACTTTCTGGATCTCCCACCTCATTTACTTCTCCCAGATGAAATTGGCAGTTGCATTCCCCCAGCTGTACTCACAGCCCCCAGCTTACCCACTTGAATCAGTGGCATTTTTTAAAAATTTACTTATTTGTCAGAGCGAGATCATGCAAGCAGGGGAAGGGACAGACGGAGAGGGAGAAGCAGACTCCCCGCTGAGCCGGAAGCCCCGGCCTTGATCCCAGGACCCCAGAATCATCACCTGAGCCAAAGGCAGACACTTAACCGACTGAGCCACCTGGACGTCCCTCTTCTCAGCGGCATTTTTTTTTTTAATTTTTTATTGTTATGTTAATCACCATACATTACATCATTAGTTTTTGATGTACTGTTCCATGATTCATTGTTTGTGCATAACACCCAGTGCTCCATGCAGAACGTGCCCTCCTCAATACCCATCACCAGGCTAACCCATTCCCCCACCCCCCTACCCTCTAGAACCCTCAGTTTGTTTTTCAGAGTTCGTCATCTCTCATGGTTCGTCTCCCCCTCTCAGCGGCATTTTTAAGCCTCTAAATTAGGAATCTCTAATCCTCGTTTTTAATTTTCTTCATGGCTCCTTGTTGATTCAGTCGTCTGCCCTTTTCTCAGCTGACTTCCTGGTTTGACCCCTCTTTCCCTCTCGCACCCCAGCCCAGTTTTAATGGGTAATGGGCTTCTGGATAATCCTACCAGAGGCTAGTCTCAGACTGTTCTATTTGGCTTTGACTGTTCCGGCACCTGTTGCATTCAAGCTTCAAATAATGAGGGCAGGTCTGAGAGGGAATTCCTGGCTCAAGGAGCTAGGAGGTTCTCCAACTTTCTTGTGATTTTTCCTCCTCCTGCACCCTTGCTTCCTGTCAGCCACTGCATGCTAGAAAGAGTTTTGTCTCTGCAGCTAATATTACCTGCATTGATCTCTGTCCTAGCTTGGAGGACGTAACTGAGTTCTTCCAGGTCAGACTGGGGCTTTCCCTCATTAGCTAAGATTGCTATTATATATAGTCTTATTCTGCTACTATGTTCTGGGAATAACTGAATTGGTTAGATTTGGATTAAAGTTCTACTTTTTTCTTCATCTAGGGGGTCTTGGCCAGCTTGGAGTGGGACTTGCTAACCTTTTGAGGTAAGAGCCCAAAAAGCTGAAATTGAAAATCTGAGTTCTTCAGTATGTGTAGTTTGTCTTTGGCAACATGTAATCATTTTATTTTGCTCTTAATATCATAGACTTATAGCAGGTCCATGGGTCATCATCTCCCACACTGGTCCTTTGCCCTATTTAAAAGAGCATCTTCATTGGACCAGTTATATCCTAGATGTACCAACTCACGTGTTTTGATTTTCCCTTCAGGAAACGATTTGGGAAGGACAATGTGATTTTGTCTGACATAAGGAAACCCCCTGATCACATCTTCCACAGCGGTAAGAGATCAAGATGCCTTGCTTTTGTTTTACCTTTGATTTTCAAAATGCAGTTGAGAGGCGGCTCATGCAGTCAGTGTGTGCAACAGCTCATAACCAGGCTTATGATGAAAAGAAAGGCATTATTGAGGCCCAGCTGTGCGATTTTTTTAAAATGTCCTATTTTGGGGTGCCGGATTTCAGCTCAGGTCACGATCTCAGGGTTGTGAGATTGAGCCCCGCGTCTGGCTCCATCCTGGGTGTGGAGTCCACTTGGGATTCTCTCTCTCCCTCTCCTTCTATACCCCACACCCCCATTCACTCTCTCTTAAAAAAAATCTCCTATTTTGTCCCTCATAATTCTGTGAAATGTCTACAGTAATGCTGCTGGTTGTTCAAGAGTTACAAGAACAGGAGAACTCTCTGAACTTGAAGTAAAGTTTGGGAATGATATCTTTGGATGTTATTTGGGATAGGATTTTTGGAATAAAGACTTTGATTCCTGCCTTTCTGAGTTTTTAGTTAACTTCTTCGCTCAGAGGGAAAAGAAAAATCAAGTCCTATAATGAGGAAAAGGAACTTTAAAAATTGAAGAAATTAATCCTATTTCAACATAGACTTGCTTTTTTAAAAAAAGAAAAGATTTATTTATTTTAGTGAGAGGGAGAGAGAGAGAATCCCAACAGAGTCAGACTGCTAAATGCGGAGCCCGACACGGGGCTCGATCTCATGACCCTGAGATCACGACCTGAGGTGAAATCAAGAGTCAGGTGCTGAACCAACGGAGCCATCCTGGCACCCCAACGTAGACTTGCTCTTAAACTGCTGTGCACACACACACACACACTTCAAACTCCCCAAGTTTTCTCCTACCTTAGAAACATGTTTATAACATCTTCTGGTCCATCCTGGTCCCATGTCAGCCTTTGGCTTACCGGTACTTTGCTGTAAGTGGGGGAAGTTGCCCCTGAAACAGACTGACTCTCCCTAGGTCATGCCTGTGGTTCTTCTATACCAAGCTGTATGTTCTTTTAAAAATCCACCTCTGGGGATGCCTGCGTAGGTTAGTCAGTTGGGCATCTGCCTTCGGGTCAGGTCATGGACCCATAGTGCTGGGATCAAGTCCCGCGTCGTGCTTCTCCCTCTGCCTGCCGCTTCCCCTGCTTGTGCTCGCTTGCACTCTCTCTTCTCTCTCTCTCTCTGACAAATAAATAAATAAAATCTTAAAAATAAAAATCCACCTCTATATCCTTTTTAAAATACTTAACTTTTCAGCAGAGTGAAATCACCGTGTGCATGTAGAGGTGGTATTAACAGCGCCAACTCTGGAGCCAGCTGCCTGGTTGTGACCCCCGTTCTCCAACTTTCTCTCCAATCCTGGCTTCTCTGTGCCTGTTTCCTTCCTGGTAAAATATATCTCCCTCAAAGTCTGTAGGAGGGCTAAATATACAGAAAGCCCTTAGGACAATGCCTGGCAAGTGTAAGTCCTTTATAAGCGCTAGCTATTATTACCTGGGGGGTGGTTGGGGTTTGTTCATAAGCAAAATGCTACATAAGGTCCAAGTGGTTTAGTCACCAAGTTGATCCTAATGGAATTCACGAGTCAACAGAGGTGGGGGAGAAGGTCCACTTAGCTTTTTAAACCCCAAACTTGCAAAAAGAAAAAAAAAAAAACCAAACTTGCACATTTGTGGTTTTGCTGTGTTCCTCATAGGCCCGTTTATTTATTCCGACATTCTGGATTACAAAAATCTTCGGGAGATCGTGGTAAACAACCGCATCACCTGGTTGTTTCATTATAGCGCTTTGCTCAGTGCGGTTGGGGAAGCAAACGTATCCTTGGCCAGAGCCGTAAATATCACCGGTAAGTTTCTGGGTCTTGCCCAAAATGGTTGATTTGCCAGTTTTTCCAATTCTTCGGTAGGACATTTTTCAGACAGTGGTTATGTCCGTTTGTTTCAGGATTACATAACATCCTAGATGTTGCAGCAGAGCACAATTTGCGATTGTTTGTGCCTAGCACAATCGGAGCTTTTGGACCTACTTCTCCCCGGAATCCAACTCCCGATCTCTGTGTTCAGAGGCCCAGGACCATCTACGGGGTGTCCAAGGTCCACGCCGAGCTCATGGGAGAAGTAAGCCTTGCTTGGCAAGATGACTCAGCGTTGCCTTTTCTATTCTTTCTGCCTCATACACTTGCTGATTCATCCTTGGAGGGGACATTTCCCTCCACCCCCAGCCCAGCCCCCAGAAGTGCTCCCAGGCTGATTGTGTTTGCTAAGTGGCAGATACGGATAGCTCCGGAAGAACTCCTTAGCCCTTGGCCTTGTGATAACACGCAGCCCTTCCCAGAGGCCCCTCGATGACATTCTCTTCTTCATTTGCTGCTTGTCTTACGGGTTCTGCTCCATGCTGTCAGGCTTCCACTATTGGCAGTAATGGGAGGTGATTTTCAAACTTTGTGTTTATGGAGAACGTCAAATGACTTTTGGTTCTATTTTTTTAAATACTCTTTGTCTTTAAAACTCTATGCTAAGGGACACCTGGGTGGCTCAGTCAGTTAAACGTCTGCCTTCGGCTCAGGTCATGATCCCAGGGTCCTGGGATTGAGTCCCACATCAGGCTCCCTGCTCCTTGGGAGCCTGCTTCTCCCTCTGCCCCTCCCCCTGCTCATGCTCTCTCTCCCTCTCATTTTCTCTCTCTCTCTCTCAAATAAATAAAGTAAAAAATCTTAAAAAAAATAAACAACTCTACGGCAAATGTGAGTTGGTGTCTGCTCCTTTACCTGACATATCAGCATTGCCCTCCTCCTGTGCGGTCCTCCCCAGGGCTCTGTGCAATGCCACACTGCAGGAACACGCTTCTGGAGGCTTGTGCGCTCCTGGAGGATTGCTTGGGGTCTTCCAAAGAAAGGTTGGAAACCAGCACAGGCTAATTTATTATTGACCGTGTTGGTATGTCACCGGAGTGATTTTTTGAAGATAAAAACTTAAGGGCTATTTATTAAAGTGAGTGGCTCTTAGAAATTCTACAGTCTCGTTTCCTTTAGGAATATTTTAATAGAACTGCATGGAAAGATATTCCTCTCTGCCCCCCCCCCCCCCCCCAAAAAGAGCTGTTCTTTGCATTGCTCTGTCCGGTTTAAAGGATGTGTTTTAAAGTCATTTTTCTCTTTCACGTAGTATTATCATCACCGGTACGGGTTAGATTTCCGGTGCTTGAGATATCCTGGAATCATTTCAGCAGACTCACAGCCTGGAGGAGGAACAACTGGTAAGTGCTGTTCTCTGTCTCTGCCCTACGGAAGACGGGCTTGCTCAGTGCCCTGAAGAGTGGCAAGGGACCAGCAGTCTATTCAGCTGTGTACTGACCCAAGTTTTGGCACCCCCTCTGGCAAGTGCATCTGAGAAGCTCATGGAATCCCATTGGCTTGAACTTGTGAAGGGCAGCTCATGCTGGTGTTGCAAATCCAGGTCGGGACTGGCCATCCTCAGTGCTGGAATCAGATAATATTCAAGAACAAGTTTGTCATCCGCAATGTAGGAAGACACCAAATGGGAAATAGCCTCTTTCTTTAAATCCAGCCTTTGTTTCTTAATGCAGAGAGCTCTGTGAAAATGGACTATATGTATGCATTGCATGTTTTTAAGGGAGCATGAGTGGTGGTGGTGGTGGTGGTATTATTATTAATTTGGACTCAAGCGTGCATTATATTCAATAACTCCCATATTAGAAATCCTTCCCATATGAGGGGTCCTGAGATACAATATAAAAGCTAAGTCTTGACAAAATCTGAGAGATATTAAATTTTTTTAAATGTTATTTATTTACTTATTTATTAGAGAGAGAGAGCACAAGCAGGGGGAGCGGCAGGCAGAGGGAGAAGCAGGCTCTGCTGAGCAAGGAGCCCGATGCAGGGCTCGATCCCAGGACCCTGGGATCATGACCTGAGCCAAAGGTAGACATGCTTAACTGACTGAGCCACCCAGGCACCCCCAAATCTGAGGGATTTTAAAGGAGATTTTTGTTTGGGTTACTTTTTAAAAAGCTTTTTGCCTTAATACAAGGCCTCTTCAAGTATGCACTTGGAATCCCTCAGGATCCTTCGTTTTTTTCAAGGGGTCCAAGAGGTCAAAACTCTTTCCATATCAGGATTAAGATATTACTTGCTTTCTTTTCACTCTCCTTACGAATGCACTGTGGAGTTTTCCAGAGGCCGTGTGATGTATGGCAGTGCAGTGGGCTGAACACACCAGCACACAGGAGACTCCAGCTGTCTGCTACTAAGCCAGGCAGACGAGAGATGGTCAAAACGTAAAACACGCCGTTCTTCTCACTAAATGTTCCTTGGCTTGAAAAATACGTTCTTCATATACAATATCATACACATGACTGTGTGATGGGTTTATTATGATCATTTTAAGATGTAGTAGTAGTTTTTTAAATGCTCTGTTAATTTCTGGTCTAGTAGATATTGATGTAACCCACACTCCTAAGACCTCCTTGGAGGTCCTCGGTGGTGTTGAGGAGCATAAAGAGGTTTGGAGCCTAAGGCGTTTGAGAACCACTACCCTAACACAAGAGGCTCATTCATCGTTTTGTTATAAGATGACCCACAGACAGGATTCTCTTTCAGACTATGCGGTCCAGATCTTCCACAACGCCCTGAAGAATGGCAAATTTGAGTGCAACCTGAAACCCAGCACGAGGCTCCCAATGATGTATATTGATGACTGCCTCAGGGCCACCCTGGAAGTCATGGAGGCCCTGCCAGAGTCCCTCTCCATGAGGACCTACAACATCAATGCCATGAGCTTCACCCCTGAGGACCTGGCCCAGGAGGTTCTCAAGCATGTACCAGAATTCCAGATCACGTACAACGTGGATTCTGTTAGACAGGCCATAGGTGGGTACATCATTGCAAACCCCCCTCAAAACCCAAGTGAAGCTCCAGTCTATACTGTGAGTTCCATGAGGACACAAAGCATGGCAGATAAGGAGGGTCTGGACACATTCTGGAGAAAGAGTTGTTGAGCCAACAGATGCTGCAGTTTGGGGCACTGCTATCTAAAGGGGGTAGAGGGACGCCTGGGTGGCTCAGTCGTTAGGCATCTGCCTTGGGCTCAGGTCATGATCCCAGGGTCCTGGGATCAAACCCCACATCGGGCTCCCTGCTCCACGGAGGCCTGCTTCTCCCTCTCCCACTCCCGCTGCTTGTGTTCCCTCTCTTGCTGTGTCTCTGTCAAGTAAATAAATAAAATCTTAGAAAGAAAAAGATAAACAAATGCTTTTAAAAAAAATAAAGGGGGTGGAATCGTTCTATTCCAAATAAATAGCTTGTCAGCATTTTACCGTTTTATCGTTGAAACATAAAACCAGCCAACAGCGTAAGAAAACGTCCCTGGGTTTTCTGATGCCACTGTGGCCTTGAGTACTGTCGGAGTAGAAGAGTCCTGCCCTACAACTCTGTGGGATATTTTAATAGTGCGTCACAATTCCCAGGGCCTGACCATGGATGTGTAATAGAATCTTCTAATCTGGGAGGGTGGCTACGTGTGCACATAATGGCCACTCCGGTCTGCTCAGAGGAGGAATTTCAGACAGTGAATTTCTTTTGTGGTATCTTGGATGATAGACCGGTATATAAAGTGTTCTGGACCTTTTTGCAAATCTAGAGCCTGAGTAACTTAAGCTTCTATTCCGTGCCTTTTCCTAGCGGATAGTTGGCCGATGAACTTTGATGACAGCAATGCTCGGAAGGACTGGGGGTGGAAACACGACTTTGATCTTCCAGAGTTGGTGACGACGATGTTGAACTTCCATGGTTCTGATACTAGAGTTGCCCAGGCTAACTGAGGGAATCGGAAGGGAGAGCTCATGTGTCCTGGACCGCTGTCAAGGGAAAAGCGTAACGACCCTGAGGAACCTCAATTATCTGGAATGGAAGGATGAATTGGATGAAATTTTGGCAGCTCATACTGAACTGCCAGGTTGGAGAATCATGTTGGCTTTTGCATTTTCAAAATGCTGTAGGTTTGGTGGTAGGACTTCTAAACCTTTGCTGTTTGCCTAAACTTGCCCAAACACACATATCACAGAATGAAGACTTCAGTCAGAAAAGTTGCCATTTCCTTAATTCAGATGAATTAACCATTTTGGGGAAGGTGGACGTATGTGATGTTTGTTGTGAATTAAATTTAATTTAAATATCACTCGTAAGACTCCATTATTCTCTTGCCTAGAGACCAAAGATTACATTTTAAAGACTATCAAAGATTATCTCCTAATTTAAACACTATCCCATCAGGACATAAATGTTTGCTATATAATCCCATGTTCATAATGTTCAAGAAATCTTAACACTCCCTCAAAAATTATCACCTCTAATTTACTTTTCTGTAAAAAGATGTATCTGTAGGAAATGAAGAATATCAAAGATGATATAACTAGTAATGGGGAGCACCTCCAATTTTGATTAACTTCCTGAGTATTGATTATCAGGACTGTCATTCTCTTACCTGGCCATGTCAGTCTCCCGGTGTAAATATACAGGTCTCTGGGCTCCTCCCTTTCAGGTTGACTCAACAAATGGGGATGAGAATCTCCAAGTGCCACCTGGTTATTCTGTTCCTCCTACGGCCCACAGGACCAGGTCCACACAGTTTTCTAAAGAGAACTTTTCTTGTGACAGCCTTCTTTTTATATACTCTTAGATTGAGCTTTCAGGAGAGCTGCTCTAAACCCTTCTGGAGCAATTCCTATATAAATATATACGGATTTACTTTCTTCTAGCCACCTCCGGATACCTGTGAAATCATCAGAGAGTAGAACTGCTCACGAGCATATTGGACAAAGCTGTCATGGACTAATTCCATTTAAGCAGGCTTTTACATACTTGGAATTAATATTTTATATCTTACTGGAGAACTCCTTTCAACTTTACCAGACAGATTTTTTATCACTCGTTCATACATAAAAGGAGAAATAGTGAAATGAATATTTGGTGTACCTAAGATTTCGGGTCTGACTTTTCTGAATCACTGTTGACTTGAATGTCTCCTTTTTTATCCCCAGTGTTATTCTCTGTGCCAATAAGAGGGCACTTCTTTTTTTTTTTTTTTAAAGATTTTATTTATTTATTCATGAGAGACAGAGAGAGAGAGAGAGAGAAGCAGAGGGAGAAGCAGGCTCCCCGCCAAGCAGGGAGCCCGATGCGGGGCTTGATCCCAGGACCCTGGGATCATGACCCGAGCTGAAGGCAGACGCTTAACCATCTGAGCCACCCAGGCGCCCCCGAGAGGGCACTTCTTAAAAGAATTCATAAACACCAAAAATTGTCGGTGCTGTAAATCAGCTTTATAATATCAAGTTAGTGTCCTTGTGACGCTTCTTCAGGGTTGTAGCTACGTGTATCTGATTCACCTACAACTGGCACCCAAGAGCTTGAAAGCTGGCACCCATCCTGCAGGTTTCTCTGCCGAGCTTTTCAAGGTGCCTGTGGAGGCCATGCCAACACTATGAAAATTGCCACCCGCTCAACAGCAGTTATAAGATACAGCCCGGGGCGCCTGGGTGGCTCAGTCGTTAAGCATCTGCCTTCGGCTTAGAATGATCCCAGGGTCCTGGGATTGAGCCCCACATGGGGCTCTCTGCTCCGCGGGAAGCCTGCTTCTCCCTCTCCCTCTCCCACTCCCAGTTGTGCTCTCTTTCTCTCTGGCAAATAAATAAATAGAACCGTAAAAAAAAAAAAAGATACAGCCTGATTTCAAAGACATCAAAGCATGGAAGAAAATGTGAATCTCAGCCATAAAAAAAAAAAGAAAAAGAAAAAGAAATCTTGCCATTTGCAACGACGTGGATGGAACTAGAGGGTATTATGCTAAGCTATATATGTCAGTCAGAAAAACACAAATACCATGTGATTTCACTCATATGTGGAATTTAAGAAACTAAACAGGACCATAGGGGAAGGGAAGGAAAAATAAATCAAGATGAAATCAGAGAGGGAGACAACAATGAGAGACTCTTAATCATAGGAAACACACTGAGGATTGCTGGGGCTGGAGGGGAGGGGGTGGGTGAACGGGGAACTGTGTGAGGAGCACTAAGGAGGGCATGTGATGTAATGAGCACTGGGTGTCATATGCAACTGATGAATCATTGAACTCTACCTCTGAAACTAATAATACACTATACGTTAATTGAATTTAAATAAAATTAAATTTGTTTAAAAAATGTTAGTCTTAGCACAGATAGCTATGATGGATAGATACGTAATGCCTTTATACCCGTGGAGTCCAAGGGCAGCCCCTGCCCTGCTCTGGCTGCCATTCTTGGGCCAACTACCTACCTTTTACATTGCTGGGGTCGGGGGATTGATGAGTAAGGTGGGCACCAGACTCGTTGCTAAGGATGACACTTCACAGGGGAGGCAGTAAGGTTCTAGTGAAGATGAGTCAATATTTCCATTCCTGTTTTTCCCTTAAATAAACTAGTGTCAAAACAGCTTATTTTTAAAAATAGTTTTCTTAAAATTATTTAGCACATTCATATTAAAGCAAAAGTATTTGGTTGGGGAATAGATAATTGCTAAATAACCATTTCCACTCAGTGAAATAGGTAGAATGTCTATATTGCAACAGTTGGAAAATTTCTAGTTTTCTCCTGAAGTCCAGGAGTTGTCTGGGGAAGGAAGATTCGTGAAATATCTGCCATATGCCTTGAAATTAATTTTGCAATGTTTACTAAATTCTGGAAATGAACTGCTGTGCTTACATATTTTGTCAGTCTCGAAACAGATGGGATTCTGTTTGAAAGGGAGAAATGAATAATTTTTAAGAATCTGGCTTAATAAAAAACTTAAAAACTGTCCTTGTTAATGTTGAATTGGGGTCACAAGGTAGTAGTTTAGGTAATTGTACAGAAACTGTTTTTTCAACATTTCCCTTCAGTAAAGACAATTTACAATTCCCTAGAAAGACTCCTTTCCACCAAAAAAACAATGCTCTCTATTTTATGTTTTAATACTCAGTAAATGCTTCTGTTTTGTTATCATTTTTCACAGTAAGTATCAGGAAACCCAGAATGACTTCATAATTTAAATAAATCTATCCCAGAACGCCTGGGCGACTAAGTCGGTTAAGCGGCTGCCTTCAGCTCAGGTTCTGATCCTAAGGTCCTGGGATCGAGTCCTGCATCGGGCTCCCTGCTCAGCAAGGAGCCTGTTGTCCCTCTGCCGCTCCCCTTGCTTGTGCTTGCTCTCTGTGTCAAATAAATAAATAAAGTCTAAAAAAAAAAAAAATCTATCACTTCTACTTCTCCTATTCCCATAGAAACTTAAAAATATTGTTTGGTATTTTCCCCCTTTCTACTTAAAAGATGTGTGCATATTTACAATCTGGTTTCCCTTTATTTATTCACTTGTGTGTCACATATTGCCATCGACTCTAGTGAGTGTAAATGCATGTGTAATCCTATTAGATCCCAAAATTCTTAAACATTTCTTACTGAGGTATAACATAACGTGGTATCCAAATCTTATGTGTACCGATGGATGCATTTTTAGAGATATGTAAATCTATGCAACCATTACCTAGAATCAGAATATAAAATATGTGAGTTCCCAGAACCCCTCTCATACCCCTTCATTGTCACTACCAATCTTATCCCAAAGGCAACAACGCCCTGAATTCTAACACTATAGATAAGTTTTGCTGTCTTGGAATTACATAAATAAAATCACAGAGTCCTTTTTTTGGCTTCTTTTGTTCAACATGATATTCATGAGATCCGTACATGCCATTGTGTGTAGACATAGTTTGTTTCACTTCTGTATAGTATTCCAATGCATGTTCAAATCAGCATTAAAAAAAAAAAAAAAAACAATTTTCCCCAAAGATAACAGGCTTTTGAGGAATATAGTGATTTGCAGCCCCCCCCCTGCCCACTTTGGATTTGGTCCTTGGATCCTAGTAGAGTGGGTCCTCCATTCCTCCTTTCTGAGCCCAACAGGAATTATCCTTCTGCTGCAGACCCGAGAGTGGGTCTGGGGGTGGGAGAAAGGACTTTCCTAGGCCTGCTAGACCTAGAGACATTTCCCCCCTCAACCCTGGCGGGCCTGGCCCTGCCCCTGCCCCTGCACCACCCCCTAGGCTCCCTGGCACTCGAGCGTGCCCCCCCACCCCGTGGTGCCTTGCACTTCGTTTTTTTTTCCTCCAGAAATCCAGGGACAGGGGTGATGGGGATGAGTCCTGTCAAGGGGGTCCCAAGGGTGAGGAGAGGACAGGCTCTCAGGAATCCTTTATTTTTACAGCAATAATAATGACAGTGGGGAAGCATGAGGGAGAAAACTAGACCATTAAAACTCCTGGTGGTTTAATACCCCCCACGAAAAAAAATCAACTTTAATTCTGATGGACGTTTGGGTTATTTCCAGTTTGGAGCTATTATGAATAGGGGTGCCATGAGCTTTCTTTTATGTGCCTGTTGGTGAATGTAAGTTTGCATTTCTATTGAGTGTAGACCTAGGGTCTGTAGCATATGCTGGGTCATAGTGTAAGTTCACCTTTGGCGTTCCCTACATAACAGTGCCGCAAACAGTACACGGGTTCTGCACATCCTTGCTAACATTTAGTGTTGGCAGGGTCTTCAATTTCAGTTATTCTGGTAAATGACTAGTAAGATCTCATTATGGTTTTTATTTCTTTGTCTAATTTCTATTGAGATATATATGCACAAGAATGCACAAATTCTACAGGCAGAGGAGCTTAGTTAATTTTTTTTCAGAGCTTAATAACATTGTTTTAATCACTTTAATAGAATTTATTATTTAGAGCAGTTTAGATTCACAACAAAGTAGAGTGGAAAGTACAGAGTTCCCATAAATGCCCTGGCCCCCAACATGCACAACCTCTACCATTATCAACTCCCCCCACCAGAGTGGGACATTTGGTACAATCAATGAACCTACTACACTGACACATCATAAAGACCCAAAATCCATAGTTTACATTCGTGTTCACTCTCGGCGTTGTACATTCTATGGGTTTGTACAAATATATAATGACAGGCATACAGCATTATGGTGCCGTACAGAATAGGTTCGCTGTCCTAAAAACCCTGTGTTCCACTGAATCATCCCACACTCCTAGCAACCACTGATTCTTTTTTATTTTATTTTTTTAATTTTGGCGTCCCTGGGTGGGCCCAAACAC